GACTTATTTTTTGTGAACTTTTTTGTTTTTTTATAATGGCTGCTACGTGAGGGAGGGGAAGCAGTACAAGAGCTTGGCAGATTTGCCTGTGTGTTTTTGTCTGAAGCGCTGGGGGAGATTGATGGTATGGGAATTATTTGCCAGGTTGAGATCAGAGAAGGAGGGGAAGTGATATTTTATTTGAAGTTCAGGTTTGGAAAAGGAAGATAGTGATATTTTAGTTGCATAGTTTTTCTTAAGATTAACTTTTAACTAGCAGTTTATTTACAGGGAGTTAAAAACCTTAGGAGCATGAGTAGAGAGGGAGGGAGAAATAGAAAAGTGGATAGTGAAAAAGTTTGCTGCAGTTGCTGGCTGTGTTCAAGAGGCTAGAGGGAATGAAAAAGGGAGGGAGGCTTTGAGTTAGTGGTGGATGTGGAGAGGGCCTCCTGTGGACAGGGGGCATTTGCTTATGGCAGAGGTAGGAGAGCAGGACCAGTAAGGGGATGCTGAGAGATCAGGGAGATCAAAGGTGAGAGAGTTTTGATCTAGGAGGGGAGAGGGTTTGGGAAGAAAGAGCTAAAAGAATTTGATAAGTAAGGCAGGTTTGACAGAAAGACAGAGCAGAGGACAAAGGCGGCCTGAACATAGGGGATTTCTGACCATTTGTCATTGTGTTGTCAAAGTCTCTAAGAGTGTTGAAATCAAGTGTTCCATGTTGCAGCTATTGAGACCCATTATTTAATTGATAATCTTGTTATGCCATGTCTTGCAATAAGAAAGTATCAAGGGAGTGAAGGAGATATCCCAGTGGAGTGTACCAAGAGGGCAGGATTGGCTGGCTCCCAAGATTGGAGAGGGGGATAAGTAGTGGGGGGAGAGAGACAGAGAAAGAGAGAAAGAGACTTAAGGGGGGGGAGAGGAAGGCATTTCTTGTTTCCCTTTTGTCCTCATGAGAAGGTCTACTCACCATGTGAGCATCCCCAGCCTCTGGAGAGATTGGTCATCTGGACTGAAGGATCTACCTGGCCTAAAGGTAGGACTTTAAGAGTCCAAAGAGAGATGAGAACTGTTCACCACTTATTCCAAATTGGTCTGGTGTTGTTCAAAAGGCCAGCAATGGCAAGAGGCAGAAAGCCTTGGAGAAGGGTGTTCTCTCAGCAGTTCAAAGAGGGGCAGACAGGAGGAAGAGAAAGCCCATAGAGAAGTGAAAGAATTAGGGTGATCCAGCATGCCCCAGGTACCTTTAGGCCAGGAGAGAGGGACAGGTTATACAGAGAAGGCTTGGAAACCAATTTCACAGACTTTCTAGAGAATCTCAATATGGAATCAGAATAAATCCCAGTCCCACTTGACGAAACCAATAGGAGGCTCAGGCTAGTCACTGGCTTCCACTGAGATTATTAGTGAGCTCTGGAGAGATCTCTAGTTTCTGTGAGTTAGCCTTGCAAGGGGGGAGGGGGAAGGAGAGAGAGAAGATACATGTTATCTTTAGGATAAGGGAAAAGGGAGATGAAATAGTTTTGCAGCTCTATCAGAGATAAAGAGTTCCAGCTGCTTTGATAATTTCTGTGGCTGTTCTGGGGAAACTGGGAAAGCAGCTCTGCAGCCCTAACAGTTAATCTCTAAAAACCTGCTACAAGGTCAGTGATGAGTTAGTTCTGACTGTATGATAAATGACAATAATAACGTTTGCTTTAGGGATTAATGGGAGCCCTATGTGCTGCCAACCCAAAAACATGTGGTTTGAATCCATCAGCTGCTCCATGACAGAAAGATGGGAAATTTCTTCATGTGCAATTTACAGCCTCTGAAAACTTATTAGAAGGTCAGCTATGAGTCTGTTGCAACATAACAGTGTTTGCTTCATATTGACATACTGCCTGCAAAACTGGGTTTTAGCATAGCAGAAATTATGAAGATGTTGCAAGATAGCACAAGATTGCCGTCTGTTTTTCAGAGGGTCTCTATGATTCATAGTGAACACAATGGCACCACCACTACTACGATTTGCTTAATTTGGCTCTTAATTCTGCACATTTGTTCTAGTTAGAAAATAAAGCTCAAGGATTCCATTTAATCATCTACTTAAAAGTCCGTAACATTTCTGAATCCTCGTCATGTATTTTCAGGATGGATTTTCTCAAAATTAATATTTTTTTATCAGTACTCCTATCACTAATCTTCTTGGGACTGTTGATTTTAAAAGTTTCTCATTTGATGCTAAAATTATTTTTGTGATAATTATGCTGTTATTGTGCTTTTGAATTGCAACTGATCTATAGCTGACCCTCTAGTGTGTTTTGCAGAGGCAGTCAGGAGATGATTGCTCATCCTCCCACAGTGTAGCTGGAAGATTTAAACCAAATGTTTTGGGATTGCAGCACAGCTCTTTACCATTAGGCCACCAGAGCTCCCTATGTGATAGTCAGAGTTTAGAAAATGTTAAAGTCAAAACTGCGTTTACTATTACTTATATCTGAACATCCCTGATCAGTTGAAACTACCTTAGACACTTGTTCAAGCTTCAGTGAAGGTTGAACTGTAGAGGAGAAAGTTGTCTTTAGAAGCACAAGGGATATCGCTGCACAAGTGTGGCAGTGTATACATTCAGTTAATAAATAAAGGAAACAATTCTCTGTTACTGTTTTCAAGTATAACTATCTTCATAAGGTGAAACTGTTGTTGTTAGGTGCGGTCAAGTCATAGACGACTCATAGTGACCCTATGAACGGAAGAGCGCTGTTTGTACATAGAATTTCCAGAGGCAAGCCATTTTGGAAGTGGATGCCGCTCCTGCTTCCAGGATTTAAGATGAAACAGCTACTATATTATTTTATTTCTATGAAATATAAAAATAGGTAAAGCTAATCTGACAGAAATCAGGAAACTTCTTTTTTGAGGGCTGTGTCTGAAAAAGGGCAGAGAGATATTTCAGGTACTGTTGTTGTTAGCTGTCCTCAAGTGGATTCCAAATTAAAGCACCCCTGTGAACAACAGATCTCAACCTTTCTCTATCCTGCACCATCTTCAGGATCTCTGTCATGCAAAAGCCCCTTGTAATGTTGTTGTCATGTGCCATCGAGTCGCTTGCTATAAGACCTATGTACAAAAGCCCTAAACTCTGCTTTGTCCTGTGCCAATCACACTGTCTCTGATATACCTATCCTGATTACCCCAACCACTGAATCAATCCACCTCATAGAGGGCCTTCCCCTCCTGCACTGTCCCTCCGCCCTCCCAAGCATGATGTCCCTCTCCAAGGACTGATCCCTCCTTACAACATGTCCAAAGTATGTCAGATGAAGCCTCAGAATCCTTGCCTCGAAGGAGCCGCCCGGTTTAACCCTCTCAAGGTTGAATCTGTTTGTTTTCTTAGCAGTCCATGGTACTCTCAATACTCTTCTCCAGCACCACAGCTCAAAGGCATCAATTCTCCTTCTATCCTCCCTAGTCATTGTCCAACTCTCTGACGCATAACAAATGATTACAAAGACCATGGCCTGTATCAGACGCACCTTAGTCTCCAGAGAGACACCATTGCTCTTCAGTACTTTGGAGAGATCCCTAACAGCAGACTTTCCCATCGCAATATGTCTTTTAATTTCCTGGCTTCTGTTGCCAAGAGTTTTGAACTGTGGAGCCAAGCAAACTAAAGCTGTGAACAATCTCAATCTCTTCACCATTCATCCTGATGCTGCCAATTGGTCCAGTGGTGAGAATCTTTGTCTTCTTGACATTGAGCCTCAATCCATATTGAAGTCCTGTGTGAGGGTCGTCCTCTGTTTCTCTTCTACACTTCCCAGAATCATGTGTCTTTAAGGAATGGTTCCTCTTGTAAGTATGTCCAAAGTAAGTGGGACTAAGTCCAAAGGATGGTGAAATGTCATCTTAGGGTGCTAGTAGTAATGTCCATAACTGATGGCTTCCCAGGTGAATTAACAACAAAATTTTACCAAGCTGTAAACTTTCTTGTAATTTTTTTTCTAAGTTGTTAATTTTTCTGCATATGCCATTAGGTGGCATCAAGTGGTCTTGGACCTCATACCGACTTTATGTAGAACAGAATGGTGCACTGTTTGACCATGTGCTATCTTCAAAATTTCTGCTGTACTTCAGTGCTTTATTGCAGTCATTGCATCAGTCCATTTCATTGAGGATCTTCCTCTTTTTGCTGGCCTTCTACTTTGCTAAGTATGATATTTTTCCTCCAGGGACTGTCCTCTCCTTATTGTTGTAGTGGTGTTTTCCACTGAACCATAACTCACTCATAGCTGGCCTTCCAGTGAGTTTTCAAAGACAGTAAATTGCATGGGAGGTGATTGCCCATCTTTCTCCCGCGGAGCGTCTGGGCTCTCCTAATAGTGATAATCAAAGCGTGAGAGATACAATCTTGCCATCCTTGCTTCTATGAAGCATTCTCACCGTATTTTTTTCCAAGACGTATTTGTATCAGTGGATATATACACTTATTTCTTCTCATTTTAAATTATACCATACCAGCAAATAAAGATCTTTAATTGATTGAAAGCTTTACTTAATCCATGATATTAGGATACTTAGAGAAGGCATTTCTCTTCATGTCATATTTTAAGTTACTTCTAATCTGAGGGCCTTAGCTTCCAATACTGTATCAGATAATGTTCTGCTGCTATTCATAAAGTTTTCAATGGTTCATTTTTCCAGTAGTGGATATGTGTTTATTTCATAAATACTTCTGTGTCATTCAAATATGATACAAAATTTTCCAAAAGTGCTAAGACTTTACTTTCTTATCTTCTTCTAATTGTATGATTTGTATTATCTTAACATTGTCTCATATTTTTCAAGTTAGATATATTTAGACTGTCTTGCATAAGTATTTTGTTCATTAAAGATATATATGTGTTTGTTTATGTGTGTATATGAGAGAGAATATGATAAAATTTAAATAATTGTCTTCACTTTTAAATTACAGCATCTTACTCTGATAATGACGATTGTGACTTCTAAGAAATAAATTTTGTGTTTATATATTATAGAACGATTTGAGGCCATGCCTACAGAGGAGGAACTTAGTCTGGATTATCTTCCTGGTCAGCCTACTGGACACAAAAATAATTTAATCATTTCAAGCCAAATGGTTATTCCTGTTCCATGTAAGTTCTTATGTTCATTTGTATAAACTGTGGCCTATTACAAGGAATTTTGAGGGCTCTTAATGTTCAATGTTTTTGAAATTAAAGGGTGGGTTTAACCATTAGGTCTAATACTCGATTAGATTCAAATGCTGGTCTGGATTTTGATTAGTGTAGGGGGGCATGTTATCATATCAGGATGGCTTCCTAAGCAAGCCTACTACTAGTGAATTCAGTTCTGAGTTAGCCTTAAATATGTGAGCCTGAAGCAGATGTAGCTGTTTGTTCATTTTCTAGCAGAGGAAGATTCAGTTGTAAGGTCACTTGAACACACAGATTTCCCAAACAGTTGTCTTACAGAAAGGTAACTGTTTAAAATTCTACTATAACTCAGAAAACATATTAATGCAGACTGAGATCTCTGCAGGGAGTTCTGGTGGTGTAGCTTGTGGGTTACTGTGCTATTAATCCCAAGGTGGGGCCTGATTGAACTGGCAGCTCTGAGAAAGCTGGGCCATCTCCACCTATGTGATTTACAGCCTCAGAGGAGTGTCAGCTATGAGTAGGTTCTGACGTGACAGTAATGATTTGAATTAGCTGAAGATCTGTGGGTCAATTTCAGCTTGCTCTGCTTTTATCTAGCCTGCAACTTAAAAATGGTTTTTAAATGTTTCAGTGGTCGATAAGGAATAAAGCTGCTACGGCTACACATCTCTGGCTGCTTAAGTCTACAGCTCCTCTGAGGGAAAAGATGGGAGGAAGAATATTTCTTCCTATGTGATTTACAGCCCCAGAAACAAAATAGAATGTCAATAATGAGGCAGTTACAATTCCATGGTAGTGATATATGTACGTATATATAGATATATATTATATATACCATCAAGTCAGAAGTGACCAATAGCTGACCCTTTGGTGAGTTTTCAGAGGTAGTTCATCACAAGGAAGGAGACTGTCTGTCCTTCTCCTGTGGATCACTGGTGGACTGGAACTGCATGCCTTCAAGATCTCTCTTTGTTGCCCTCTCTCTCTGTATCTATCTATCTATGGAAAGAATAATTGGAGAAAGAAAATAAAAACAAATCCACAAGAACCTATAAACAATCTTGAGTCTTACCCATTTAAATTTAAAAACCATCTTAAGAACAGGTTTTTGAGGTACTGAACATTAATGGATGAAGGTTACATGAATTGTGCGATGATATGAAGGATATCACTCATAAAGAAAGCTAAGGGTCATTACCAAAGCAAAGAAAGAACTAAATTGAATATTGGAAGTTGTTTGTTGTTGTTATGTGCCATCGAGTCACCTGTGACTCATAGTGACATAACAACAGCCCTAAACCCTGCTCTGTCCTGTGCCAATCGCACAGTCTCTACACCGCTCACCCCAATTACCCCAGTCACTGACTCAATCCACCTCATAGCTGTCCTCCTCCTGTGCTGTCCCTCCACCCTCCCAAGCATGATCTCCCTCTCCAAGGACTGATCCCTCCTTACAACATGTCCAAAGTATGTCAGACAAAGCCTCAGAATTCTTGCCTCCAAGGAGCCCCCCTGTTTAACCCTTTTGGGGTTGAACCTGTTTGTTTTCCTAGCAGTCCATGGGACCCTCAATACTCTTCTGCAGCACCACAGCTCAAAGGTATCCATTCTCCTTCTGTCCTCCCTCATCATTGTCTAACTCTCTGATGCATAACAAGTGATTGCAAAGACCATGGCCTGTACCAGGCACATCTTACTCTCCAGAGAGACACCATTGCTCTTCAGTATTTTGGAGAGGTCCCTAACAGCAGATTTCCCATCACAATATGTCTTTTAACTTCCTCGCTGCTAGTGCCAAGAGTGTTGACTGTGGAGCCAAGCAAACTAAAGCTGTGAACAATCTCAATCTCTTCACCATCCATCCTGATGCTGCCAATTGGTCCAGTGGTGAGAATCTTTGTCTTCTTGACACTGAGCCTCAATCCACATTGAAGGCTGCAGTCCTTGACCCTCTGCAGCAAGAGCTTTAGGTCCCCCTCAGTTTCAGCAAGCAGGGTTGTGTCATCTGCAAAACGCAGATTGTTGATGGATCTTCCACCAATCCTGATGCCACACTTCTCCTTATAGAGCACAGCCTCCTGGATAATCTCTTCTGTATATACGTTGAAAAGGTATGGAGATAGGACACATCCCTGGTGTTCACCCTTCCCAGTTTTGAACCATGCAGTGTTTCCTTGCTCTGTTCTGACAACTGCCTCTTGGTCCAAGTATAGGTTTCTCATTAGCATGAGCAAGTGTTCTAGGATTCCCATTCTTCTCAGAGTCAGCCACAGTTTGTTATGATCCACACAATCAAACGCCTTTGCATAATCAATGAAACACAGGTAGACATTCCTCAGGTATTCCCTGCTTTCAACTATGATCCATCCAACATTAGCTACAGTTCCCCTAGTACCATAACCCCTGCTAAACCCAGCCTGGACTTTGGGCAGTTCTCTGCAGATGTGCTGTTCCAGTCATTTTTGGATAATCTTCAGTAGACCCTTGCTTGCATGTGAAATCAATGATATTGTTCTATAATTTCCACACTCTGTTGATCACCCTTCTTTGTGATGGGAACAAGTACAGATCTCTTCCAGTCAGTTGGCTAAGTGGTTGTTCTCCAGATTTCTTGGCACAACTTGGTGAGCACATCTAGGGCAACATGTGTTAGCTGAAATACATCAATTGGAATACCATCTATTCCTGGGGCCTTATTTTTTGCTATTTCCTTCAAAGCAGCTTGAACTTCTTCCTTCATCACCATACATTCTCGCTCTCATGTTGTTTCATGAAATTCTTCTGTTTGTCAATTCCTTTCAATACAGTGACTCACTAAGTCTTTCCATCTTCTTTTATTACTTCCTGGATCATTTAATATTCTGCTTAATGCATCCTTGATTATAGCAACTCGAGGTTTGGATTTGTTCTTCAGTTCCTTAAGAAATGCTGAGCGAGTTCGGCCCTTTCGACTTTCTGACTCCAGCTCCTTGCACCTTTCATTGTAGTATTTTACTTTATCTGTCTGCGCTGCCTTTTGAAATCTTCTCTTCTGCTCTTTAGAATCTTGAATTCTTTTTTCTGCTTTGGCTTCTTGGCAGATATTGGAAGATACTTTGAATATTGCACTAGAATGCGAAAGCTAAAAAAAGGGAAGAAATGATGACGTTAAACTGAGCAAAATATTTCAAAGGGCAGCTTGTGAAGACACGCAAGAGTTGTAACAAAATGTACAAGGAGCTGGAGTCAGGGAATCAAAAGAGAAGAACTCATCCAACACTTCTCAAGCTGAAGGAACTCAAGAACAAATTCTAGTTTTGAGTTGCAAGACTAAAAGATGCTATGGGCTAAATCTTGAACGATTCAGGAAGCATCAAAAGAAGATTGAAGGAATACATATAGTCACTGTACCAAAAAAGAATTGGCTAAAACAGAATCATACCAAGTAGGAGCATATGGTCAAGACCCAATTGTAGTAAAGGAGGAAGTTCAAGCCACTCTCAAGAGATTGGCAAAAACATAAAGTCCCAACAACTGATGTAACACCAGTTGACCTATTTCAATAAGTAGATGCATCCTCAGAGATGTTCACTAAATTGTGTTAAGAAATCTAGAAGGCAGTTATACCTGGCTAACTGACTGCAAGAGATCCGTATTTGTTCCCATTGCCCCCAAAATGTGATCCAATAGAATGTGAAAATTATTGAACAATATAATTAATAGCACACATAAACAAAATATTGTTGCAGATCACCCAAAAAGGACTAGTATGATACACTGACAGACAATTGTGAGAAGTACAAGCTGGGTTTAGAAGAGGCTGTGGCACCAGAAATATAACTGCTGATGTCAGATGGATCTTGGCTGAAAGGAAAGAGTACCAGAAGGATGTCTATTTGTGTTTTATCCACTATCCAAAAGCATTTTGTCTGGGGGCAGGCAGGGGAAAGCATTTGAATCTCTGTATCTCAGCAAATTATGGCTAACATTGAGAAGAACTGGAATCCCAAAACACTTGATTGTAACTTTCATTACTTAACATCTGGAGGCCAAGTTGAATTTTCCTCTTACAATTTTTATCATTTATAAAGTGTTTTAAATCACTACTTCTCTGTGCCATGTACTTCACAAATCCCTACAAAACATCCTCTTTTGATGATCTTTTCAATGACCTCTTCGCTATTTAATAAAAGAAAAAAATAGCTAATACACTTCTGGAAGTTTTTAAAGGACAATGTAGCTACTTTTCTTTCATTTTCTCACTCCTGTTGCAGATAACTTAAGTTCTCTTAATTTATACATAAGATAATTAATGAAGGCTATGGACCTGGCTTTGATAATTATATAGAAGGAGAAATGTTTTTCTAAGCTTTATTATCTCACCAACAACTTATGATACGCAGATAACACAACCTTACTTGCTGAAAGTGAGGAGGAGCTGAAGCACTTGTGGCAGAAAGTCAAGGGCTGTAGTCTTCAATATGGATTAAAGCTCAACATCAAGAAGACAAAGATTCTCACCACTGGGCCAATTAGCAGCACCATGATGGATTGAGAAGAGATTGAGGTTGTTAACAATTAGAGATTGCTCAGCTCCACAATCAACTCTTAGCACCAGCAGTCAGGAAATCAAAAGACGAATTGCATTAGGTAAATGTGCTGTCAGGGACCTCTTCAGGGTACTGAGAAGCAATGATGTCAGTCTAGAGAATAAGGTGCACCTGATCCAGTCCAAGGCCTTTACAATTACTTGCTATGCATCAGAGAGCTGGACAATGACTAAGGAAGACAAAAGAATTGATGCCTTTGAGTTGTGGTGTTGGAGAAGAATCTTGAACATACCATGGGCCCCCAAGAAAGCAAATAGGTTTGTCTTGGAGAGGGTGAAATCAAGTTTTTCCTTGGAGGCTAGGATTTTGAAGCTGTCTCACATAACTTTGGGCAAATGGTCAGAAGGGACCAATCCTTGGAGAAGGATATCAAGCTCAGAAGAGTGAAGGAACAGCTCAGGAGAGAAAGACCCCAGATGAGATGGATTGGTATAGTAACTAGGGCAATAAGGGATTGGCATGTCAGAGTCAGTGACAGGGCAGCT